TTTCCAACTTAGTGATTCTGTGATTCTGTAACAGACCTCTAAGTCTGACTGCAAGTTCATGTTTAAGGAATATATATTTTAAAAATAATGGAAGTGTACCAGAGTGTTAAGTCTGCTGCGTAGTAGAGAGAACAAAAATACCCCACTGCTGCTAAATGAGTGACAGGGCTTTATAGATGTTTGTTTGTCTTGGTTTATGACCAAAAAAATCACATTTTCTAGACAAATCAGTTAGCTCACGGTCACGCTGTTCTTTAAGAGTGATCTGGACAAAGGGGAAACATGGCCAGATTGGCCTGAAATACATGGTAACTTCGTACAGCTCAGGCTTGCCTGCAAAATAAGACAACTGGCAGCAGAGTCCCCATGGTGGAGGTTGATAGCCTGGATGCCAACTGCGTAACACAATGTGGCTGCAAATATAGAGCCGTGAAAACATGCACCGGAGAGAGGGAGTATTTCATACTGGAAGGCAAGATCAGTATTTCAGAGGTACCTACAGGCAAACTGTTGCGCTTCAGTAATACTTATTGAGCCTTACAACTGAAGCCTTAAAATCTAAGGGGCTGTGACCGTAACACTGCCAAGGCCCGTAATGGATGGCATGTTTGGTCTGTGTTAAGCGCACCCAGACTGGCGGCAGCAGCAAGTCCCCCAGGGCCACCAGCCCTGCCCCAGCGACGCTGCAGTGGGGCTGGTCTCCACCTCCCCACGGCCCTGCCATGCCTGGGAGGTGCCTGGTGCCCAGGGCTGGGGCTGCAGCCATTTTTCAGCTTTAGCGGGAGGTGAGCAGCCCCACCACCCCAACACGTCCCGTCTCCCCCTCCAAGCCACAGAGAAACTGTGATTTTCAATCGCTGTTGCACCCTCTCCTCCTTGGCCTCACCACACAGAAACTGCTGTAAGAAAACATAAAATGAAACTGAAACAGCACTAAGTCCAAAGCAGATTTTGCTTGGTTAAGTTTTATTCATGTGTATGGGGTCAGTGCCAGCTTTAACAACCCAAACAAGTACTCCAGGGGGTATAATTCAGGTGAATCTTCTTTCGCCAAATCAGCGCAGTTTCCTGTGGCCGTGTCACACCTCTGCGAGCGCCGAAGCTGCTGCCGCCGCTGCTGACAAGAAGCGGCTGAGCGGGGGAGTAGATGTCTCAGCGCTGGTGCATTGGTCCCCTAACTCATCCGAGGCGGCGCGACGCCGCGGGTTCCCTTTGCAGCTCCCTTTGCAAGGGTTGCAGGCTGGGTTTTGTAACGTGAATAGATGCTGCTGCCGGCTGCCCACACCGCCAAGGGGCAGAGGTGTCAGACGCGAAAAGCAGCGTCTAAGACATTAAATGCTGAGACCCAAAAGATGAACAGAAAAGGGTCAAGCGAGAATGAACCCAAGGGAAAAAGCAGGTTTGAGAGATGGTGTAAGAAGGAGGAAATAGCGTGCGGGGAACAGCAGTGGAAATTAGTGGTCACACAGGCATCAGTCAAATTCCCCTTGCTCCTGCTTGGAGCAAGCCTATACGAAGAGAATTTACGTGGCACTAAGGAAACGAGGTTGGACAAAACCCCAACCATAGAAAATAAGAGGCAAAGGAAAGCAGTACGAAGTGAGGTAGAAACTAGCACATGAGAAGAAAAAAGGATACCTAGGCCAGACTAGGCTGGGAATAGTTTCCCCCACTCATAACTGCCATCTTGTCAGCCTGGCACTGTTCAGCATTTTTATTCTTCCTGCTCTTCGGCAAACCTGAGCTGTTTTGCTTCATTCTGAGAGCTGTGGTGTCCATCAGTTGTTGAGGAAAAACTGTTTCTCAGTTGTAAACATATAGAGCTTGAACCAAACTATATAATTTGGGACATGGATCACTCCAAAGCCCTTAAACCCTGGGGAGGGAGGTGACACACAATTGCATTTAGGTCCAAAGCTTCAGCTAAAACCCTTCTTCACACATGCATTGAGGATCGTTACATTAACATTCGTCTTAAGGCAGAATAAATATTATTACAACTCAGTAGTAATCCTTCCTGTGAACAGCTTTTGCAAATCCCACTCTGTCATTCCCACGGTCAAAAATGCAGTAAAACGCAGACATAAAGACATCTCCTAAAATCCAGAGGGGGCCGGTACGGGTGGTGATGTCAAGAGACTGAAAGCCGCTCATGCAGAAGGTTTGGTCTTCAATAGACTCCTGGAAGGGAAAGCACGTGTCCTTGCGGCAGCCTGCTCCAACCCTGGCTCGGGGAGCGGGGACGGGGGAGCGGGGAGCCCACGGATATGCACCTTTACGACGTATTGCTCTGCTGTCAGTCTGTACTCGTGGTGACCGATCGTGAAGCTTATGTGAGGCAAGCTGGACAGTCTTCTGCAGTCTACGAGAAACTGTATGCGATGCACTGATTGAGAAGGGATTGGTTTGCCTTTTTTTAAGTACTATCCTTTGAATCAGAGATTTTTGCGGCAGGTAATAGTGAATTTACTACAGAGAAACAGCATCAGGCTGACTTATGGCCCAACACTGCCCTCCAGCTTTCCAGCTCCTGCACCGGGTCAAACCAGCCTAGCAGCCCAGAGCACTGCACCAAAGCCCCTAAGCACCCGGGGCCGATGGAAATCCTCGCAAGCCCCAAAAGGGACGAGGTGAAGGAGCACTCTGACGTGCCCCCTGTACAATTTGGAAGCAAAACGGAGTGTGTGAGCCCCAGTGAACCCACGTTAGCAAGATTTGCTGAGCAAAAAGTCCTCCGAAGCTCTGGCGGGACTGGGTGGAGGGAGCTGCTTCCAGCCCACGCAGGGCATTATATACTCCAGTGCTGACACAGAGCACTCAGCTGGCATCTCAGATTCTGAAAAAAAGCATCCTGAAAATAAGACTTTCTACAACTATTTTTGTAGCAACCACAGACTGGGTGGAGGGAGCTGCCTCCAGCCCCTAC